CAAAAATTTTTAAATAAGAACAACATTCAAAATCCCTTTTTATCTGCAAAAAGATTCAAACTGCACGTCCAATCCGAGTTGAAATCTGTAAGAAACTAGTTGATATGTGATAACAACCCGTTATTGATATACGGTCTGTAATCGTATATTAACATTTGTCATACTCTGTACGGAGGGTGGAAGGGAGGTCCAAATTTGTCTCCCTATAGTTCTGCATTCGGTTTGAGTCATTTCACTCCAAGCCACTTTCGACTGGAGCCTGAATAGAATCCATGAATCCGTATAAAGAGCCTTATTTCTTTAATTAATTGCTACACTTCGTAGTACTGACTAGAACGCTATAACTGTAGTCTGATCTAAATCCGTGTTGCTTAGCACTATTGCCTTCTACTAAGAACAACGAACTGTAGCAACTAATTAAATAAATAAGACCTTTTATAGGGATTAGTGAGATCAATTTAAGCTCACATCGAAAGTTCACCGTAATTTCGAACCGAGCCGATATTCCCGGCCTTCTCAACATTTCTGTTAGATTGTGGACGGCAGAATAATAAAGCATAGTTCAATATTTGATTGTTTTTACAAATAAATCATATTTATCAATAATAATATATATTTTTTTTTTGATTTTCTAGGCATATTCTAATTCATTAAAATCGATTTCATCAGCTAAATCATTTTCGCTTGAATTACGCAATGATATTCGTTGGATATTAGTTTATCATCAAGATGATACAGGTTTACTTAAAGTACCATCGCCTCGTCGACCTACAGCACTACGTGGTGAAGAACGGCCAAGTCGTTGGGGACCACCAACAAACGTATCTGCTGTTACATCATCAACAACATCAGCTGTACGTCATTTTCATGAACGTCGTGTTGAAGAAGGTTCTCAGCGTGAAAAAGAATATTATACAGCAAGCGGTGTATGTATTCCACCACCAGCATTAATTGAACCACCATTAACACGTGTAGAAATTGGAAGAGATCTAACAAAATGTACTTCATCAACAGACGAATCTATTCTGAATAATATTCGCCGTCTCATACCAAATACATTTGTTGTTTTTGAATTACTTGATTTTGATGAAAATATTCCTGGTCATTATGTATCAATGTTATTTACATCGATGTCAAAAAATAAACTTGAACTTAAATATGAATTTGTTCATGTACCAAGTGGATTTATGATAACATATACAATAAATAATCGATTTTTTATGTCATGGATAGCACCAACAAAAGTTGCAGCTAAACAAGCTGGAGCAAAAAAAGCTATTGAAATGTTAAAATTACTTTATCCTAGTATTAAAACAAAACATGTTGTTAGTGATGTGTCTATAAATGAAAATGAAAATGAAATTATGGGTATTAAATGTAAATTAATAACACGTTCACAACTATATGATCAACAATCATTAACCACATCTTTAACAACAATGACAACAACGCCTACAAATACACAACCAAAAGAAGATATGGGTTCAAAATTATTAAAAAAGATGGGTTGGATTGGTGGTGGTATTGGTAAAGATTTACAAGGTATTGCTGAACCAATACAAATTGAAGATTTACAAGGACGTAAAGGTTTAGGTAGTAATAATTTATTTCCAAATCAAATATTTATAAAAAGTTTACGACGTATACTGGAAGAATTTATTGCAACAAATGATGATGATGGAGAATTACAATTTGCTAATGAATTTAATAGTGAAGAAAGAAAATCAATTCATAAAGAAGCTATGAAATTACATTTAACATCAAATTCTTATGGTCGTGATGGTGAACGACGTGTAAGTAAAACAAAAATTTTAGTTTAAAGAAAATTTTTGTGTGATTTTTATTTAATTAAGATTCGTATAACACAAAAACGTAATGTTGATCAACTTGTTGATCATTTATTAACACATGGTGGTGAAACAGCACGATATGAATTAAAAGCTCAAGCTCAAGCACAATCAAAACCAACCGTTACACAATCATCACAACGTACATATGCACAAATGGCTCCGCCGTCGTCACAATGGGTAGCCCCTGATGCTTGTGATGATGGAACTTTATAAAAAAAAAAACAAAAAAAGAACTTTATTTAGATATTTGTTCAATATGCATATTCTTTATTGTGAACTAGTTACGGTTTTGTATACATTAAAAATTGTTTTCGTTGAGGTCTTTTTTTCTAATTTTTTTTTTCGTAGTATGCATTTAGATTAAGCTAAAAAGAAACAAGTTTAAGAAACGATTGAAATTTTAAAAAAACCTTTTCTTCAGAATTAAATAGATAAGTAATATATTTGAAAACGAATATGTCATAAATGAAATTGATTTATCTATTAATTAAATTTACTGATTTCTATGATATTGAAATTCTACAAATATCATTTGATATTGTATTTTTCATACAACAGATGAAAAGAAATAATTACCAAGATTAGAATTTTTATTAAAATATTATTATCAATGTAATTCTCCTCCATATAGAATAGAAACTCAGTTCGAAATTTATAATTTTCCGAACATAGCAGAAGTCTACTCTGTTCAGAAGAAATATTGGGTAGATCCAATCATTGCTTTCTATTGTTTGGTTGTATCTCATGAGAGAACCTTTTTGAATTGATCCATTGCTTTTGAATTTGGACTTCGTACATACGATAAACGCCATTGAGATATGGAAAATCTCAAAAGAATAAGCTCCCTTAAACCTTCTGTTCAGAGTTGTATATATTTTACTGAAATTTTAGCTTCTTACATGGTATATACCAACAGATCGAATGACAGTAGTTTGACCTGTCATTTTGCTCACAGACTGGTCTATTTGTTAGGAAAATGTTGTTACAGTTTCAGTTCAAATGAATCTTTCCTTCCCGAAATATTTAAGTGCCAAAAAACAGAAAATTATAGTATTGTTTTTTGTAGAATATGAGTGATTTTTGGGTACTTTAATATCTCAGGAAAGAAACATTCTATTGAGCTAAATTTTTCAGGGCATTCTACTGACAACTAGATCTATCTGTGGGCAAAATCTCAGACTGGAAAATTTTCATTCGACTTATTGATACATACCCTGCCAGAAGCTGAAATTTCAGTACAATGTCTGTTGCTTTGGATAAAAAGCCTCAGGAAACTTATCCTCTTGAGGTTTTTCATATCTCACTGAAGTCTCTCTTTGCATAACGTCTGAATTCAAAAGCGAATGATTAGTTGAAAACATTCCTTTGTCAACTTATGTGCGTATTCTGCATTCTGTTGGATGTATATTTTTTTATCAATACACAAATGAACCTCTGTTAAGAGTAGGCTAAAAAAATACATACATGTATTAACAAAACATAATTGTTGAAAAACTAATAAATAGAAATTAGATATGCAACAATGTCATTCTGTTAGGTTTTTTCCTCTAACGAAATGACGTACAGTTTAGAAATGAATAACCTAACAGCAATCTGTGCATACTGAAAAAATGAGACTTTTCAAAAAGCTAAACTAAGATCGATACGAATTACGCCAGAGAATTGCTCAGATTCAAAAAGCAAATAGAATTGTACAATGGTATAACTTCAATTATGACAATTATCTATCTCTTAAAAAAAAAAGGAAGACCTTCGTTTTTATAGGCAAATGTTTACTTCATATCTTTGTTGCGATAATAAAAAGATATCTCATGTCGTTGCTTAATTCTACATCGGCTTCTATGATAAAGATAGCCTGCAGAATTTAATTGGTATCTGTATAATAGAAATTTTTTGTAAACATTGTCAAAGTTTGACAATTTTCCAAATCAACATTTTGAATTAGTCTCAGTTTTTCGCACTTGCAGTTGTATACGTGAATGTGAAGTGTAGTGTAAAGAACACACTACTTTGTCGATTTGATAGGAAAGAACCGAGAAAGAATTGATAGTCATTTTTTGATTCTAGAAAACTGATAGCTACTGCGAAAGTGACTAAACAAATTCAAAATGTAAATTTATAAACTTTTAACCCTTTGAGTACGAGATTATTTTACATGATAAAAATTTTTAAAACTTCAAATCCACATTTGGTTTTTATCAGTGGAACAACTAATAATTATCAGTAAGTAATGATAGATAATTTTAACCCCATAAATATCCTAAACACAAATATCCGTACAATTCATACCACTAAATAACCAAAAGACCATGTTTTTCAAAGTTATTCAGAGCGCAAAGTATCATAACTAGAATTCTCATCGTCCGTACTCAAAGGGTTACACACTTCTGTACTTCTAAGCTCATAAAATCCAAGTTTCAAAATCGAAAAAGTTAATCATAATAAAATCCTATACCCAAACTTATGACTTGAAAACAAATAAACACCTCCAATGATATATATACTATAATTATATACCCACGAAGCAAGGCTACAGATATTTTTTCATTTTTCTGCACATGTAATATTGCGAGCATGATGTTCACCGTATCGTAGTTATTACTTTAACAAGGCTTTATATAATCGTTAAGGAAAAAGAGATTTTTTTTTGAGAAAATGATCATTTAAATATTAAATGAAATGCTGAAATTCGAGTAAACTATATTTAATAGACTTCAATGGAATGTTTTTTTTTATCCAATCTATTTACATGATGACCTTCTTGAAGTGTAAATTTGTGGTTGAAAAAAATCATATGTAAATGAAGACAAACACCTAGACAAGTATTAAAGTAGGCTGATGAAGAGAAGAATATCTCGCAACTCTTCAGTTTTCTTTTTCTTATGTCATCTTAAGAAAAAAAGACTCTTATCTTTAAAGTAAATAGTCTAAAATTAAACGTTTTGCAAATAAAAAGCTTGATTAATATGTTGAGGCAGAGCAATATCTAACAATGATAAAACACAAGGACCTAGTCGACGATATCTTTTTTTTGCGTCAGTATAGAATGCAATGAAAAAAAGGGAGTGGTTAATTTTTTACCAACATTATAAAATATATCAGTAGATATATTTGTGTGAACATTCATTTGATTTTTCTTTAAAGATAATAATGCGTCTATTAGCTGTATTGCTCCTATTATTGGTTATGATATCTCATAGCCATGGAAAACGACCACGTGATCAATTAAATATGTTTTATGTTGAACCAACTGTTGGACAACCTTGGCCTAAACCACAATCAATGCGCACTACTTTACAACAATTTGCTGTACATCCAGCTGCATTTCATTTTTTAGTTAATTCAACAAGTCAAACATGCGATTTACTTACAAGTGCATTTGATCGTTATTATAAATTAATCTTTTATCCATATTCATATTTAAATTATATTCTTAATCCAGAATCAACAAATAATGAAATGATTGAAAAACCAAAAAAAAGTTTACATGATCTTCGTGATGCAACATTATTAAAACGACTTAATGTTCATATTCAAGAGCCATGTGAACAATATCCAACTCTTGAATCAGATGAATCATGTAATAGAATAAAAAATGAAACGAAAATTTTAATTATTCATTAAATATATTTTTGTTCTCTTTTAAAGATACACTTACCATTAATAGTGATAATGGTGTGCTTGAATCTGTTTCAATTTGGGGTGCTATTCGTGGTCTTGAAACATTTAGTCATATTGTTTATCCTGATGAAAATCTAGGAGTAAATTTCATAGATAATTTTTTATTTTGTTGCTATTTTATTTGTATATTAATTCTAGTTAGCTGTTAATGAAACAGTAATCAATGATCTTCCTCGTTTTCAACATCGAGGTTTACTTCTTGATACATCACGTCATTTTATTTCAGTAAAAACACTAAAAATAAATTTGGTACAAAAAAAAAACCTTGATTTATTATTTTTAAAATCGAAATCTTTTCTTTGTTTCTTTTAATTTTAGGAAGCTATGGCAAATAGCAAAATGAATGTATTTCATTTTCATATTGTTGATGATCAATCATTTCCATATGAGTCACGTACATTTCCTGATTTAAGTGGTGCTGGCGCATATAATCAAGAGCATGTTTATTCGCAAGATGATATTGCTGATATAATTGAATTTGCACGTCAACGTGGTATTCGTGTTGTTGTTGAATTCGATTCACCAGGTTTTGAAAATAAAAATGAAACTTTTGAAAAAACAAAGCGAAAATTATTTTTCTATAATTAGGTCATACACAATCATGGGGACGAGTTATTGACGTTTTAACACATTGTTATAGTGGAGGAAAACCAAATAATGAATTTGGACCTATGGATCCAACTCAAAATTCAACATTTGATTTCTTAAAACAAATATTTAGTGAAGTTGCAAATGTTTTTCCTGATCATTATGTTCATTTGGGTGGTGATGAAGTTGATTTTGATTGTTGGTAAGCATATTATTGCATTTAGAGATTTAAAAAAACGTATATATCGGTTCATAGGCGAAGTAATCCATATGTGCAAGCTTTCATGCGTCAAATGGAATTCGGAGATGATTATTCATTACTCGAACAATATTACATGCAAAAGTACATAGAATTAAATGAAAAGAAAAGAAAAGAAAAACTTCAATAAGAAAATATGATTTTTATTTATTTATAGACTAGTCAATATTGTTGCTGCAACAGGAAAAGGTTATACTGTATGGCAAGAAATTATTGATAATAATGTAACAGTCAAAGCTGATACTGTTGTCGAAGTTTGGAAGGTTATATAGAAATTTATGAATTTATTAAAAGAAGAAAATTTATTCTTCTTTTTTTTTTTCAAGGATCCATATCCAGATGAATTAGCACGTGTTACAAAATTAGGTTATCGTACTCTTTTATCATCATGTTGGTATGAGAATAAAATCCATATGATTTGATTTTAGAAAAATTTTCTTTTATTATTTTAGGTATTTAAATTATATTTCTTATGGTAAAGATTGGGTTAATTATTACAAATGTGATCCACAAAATTTTCCTGGTAAGACTTTATTTGAAAATATTTAGAAATATTAGGTTTTCTTTTTGTTTAGGTACTGATGCACAAAAGAAATTAGTTGTCGGTGGTGAAGCTTGTATGTGGGGCGGTAAGTTATAATAGAAATAGAAATAGAAAAAATGAAAAGAAAAGAATTATTATATGTCATTTTTTAAAATAATTATTTAGAATTTATTGATGCAACAAATGTTATTTCAACAACATGGCCTCGAGCTGCAACTGTCGCTGAACGTTTGTGGTCAGCTGCTGATGTAACTGATCCTGATGCAGCAACACCTCGACTTGAAGAACATCGTTGTCGATATTTAAGACGTGGCATTCCAGCTGCTCCAGTAAATGGTCCAAGTTATTGTGAATTTGAATATAATCGTTAATTGATATAAACTAAGTTTAGATTAAAAAAAAAACAAAAAGGCTAAAAGCTAATTTTTCTTATAAAAATATGACTTAATTTTAAAATATTTAATAATAGATAATTACTAATACAATTGTGATTCTTCCTTTTTCTCTTCTATAAATAAATCAAATTTATCATTGTATTTACTGATCTTATGATGATGAATAATCAACGAACTCTTAAAATAGGATAAACATTACAATGAATAATATTTATGAAATTATTCATTCGTTATAACTATCGTATATATATATATATATTTGTTTTTTGTTTTTTTGATGAACAAAATGATGTTAATACTCATTCGCTTGATGTTATATCAACTAATAATAATTGAAGATAATTAACTTGCAGAAGACACTTAGAAAAAATGAGAATATGTTAGAACCGGAATAGGATCAATTGACTTTGACATAATTTAATAGAGAAAAAAAAAGAAAAAAATGATCAAAAATTTTTCTTTTCCCTATTGAAATTTCTAAAAAAAGAAAACTGTCATTACTATGAAGTCGACTAGGATAGACTTGTCTGAAGTAAGTGTGCTTGTTTTCAATTAGACTAATACATTAGATCAGTTGATGATGATAAAACATGATCTATATGAAGTACTCTATGTCTAATTCTAATGTGTGCATTCGTGTCTTACATATAGAAAGAAACTTAGAATAGAATGTCGTCGTATTCTTCCGAACAATTAGTCGTCTCGGCAAGAAATATCCCGCTTATGATGTTGAAAACATGCTTGTCTTTGTATTTTTCCCATGATTTCATCATCTGCATATTAACATGAGCTTTTTAAAATATGTCAAAAGAAAAACAACAGTCATGTCCTAATAATAAATTAAATTATTTATTCAAACCTTTTCTTTTTTCTCAGTCTAATTTTTCTTGCTTTTTTCTAATTTTTAAAACTTATGAATAGAACATTATTCATTATATTAATAACCCTATAGATTATGTCAATGCCTAAGCATATTTATATCGTCGAGATACAATGTTATCTGAAAATGTTGACAGTTTCATGGTATGCATTTGTCAGCAAATGAAAAAGCAGTGAAACAGGATCGAAGTTGAATATATGGCTCATAGCCGTCATTTTACGAACGGTCGATAGTAATCATTGTTATAAACATGCAACAAGGCAAAAGAAAAAAAAAGAAATCATGATAACTAAGACACATACAAATACAATCTCTCGTGTCATGCATTTTTTTTTTTAATATTAATAGATTGCTGTTCTTGTTAGCACTATTTCAAATTGCATGCCGATGGTGAGGAAGAGAGAGAGAGATAGGAAGATTGAAACACGAATAGAGAAAAGTATATCACTACAATGATCATTATCATTAACTTGTAAAAATCATGATGATTATCGTAGTAATCTATATATTCGCTATCAGAAATGTATATCAAACGACAAACATATTTCTTATTCATCATCACATACGATCAACATCATCGCATGTATTCAATTTTTCTGTAATTGTCGCATACTTACAACACAAAGGGGAAATAAGAAACGGGAGAGCTATGTAGAAAAGAAGAGAAACAAGGTTCTATTCTTTCATTCTATTGTTATACGCTGTTATTTCTTTGTCTATTGGGGACAAAAGCGAAAGAGTGTGTATGTGTGTGTGTGAGAGTAGTCGAGAAAAGTAGTCGAACTCGTCAGATATGGAAGAGAACTTTTATCCTGAAGATTGTTTTCATCGATGTTGCCACTACTATTATTGCATGCGTTACTGTTGATGATGTTCTCCCTAGCGTTTGAGTTACTGGAACAAACGAGAAGAAGCGGTAGTAGTTTTCACCCCGCAGGCTAATAGACACACTTCAACACATGCTGGCAAGAAAATAGCAGTAGTTCACCCGCCACTTGAATTAGAGCGGACGTATGCATACGTCCGTTCTAGCATCATTCGTCACCCATTTCTAATTAGATCTTCCTAGAAAAAAACAGGTCTACGACTTTTCTTCTTATACACCTACTTTATGTACGCTCCATATGATGAAGGTAAAATGAGAAGTTTTCTTCTTCGTATTTCTTTTCTTTTTCCTTCATTTTCTTTTCGATAATCTTTTTCTTTTTTTTTTTTCTTTGACATTTTTCTTATAGATGAGGATATACGCTTAAATGCGTTTTCTAACGAATGTTCTTGTTTTTTTCTATTGAGCGTTGAACATCTTGTTGTGTGCCACGTACGGTCGTTTATTTCCCGTAATGTTCGACCGATATAATGTATATGTATTATATATATATATATATATATATGTGTGTGTGTGTGCGTGTTTCTGTCGCCAACTATCGCCGTCGTGGATGGAAGAAGGCTTTGTTGCTTGTTTGATTACGTCTCTAATTTGAGACATGCAATGTGGGAATTGTATCTTCCTCTATCATCCAGTAGTAATAGCAGTAGTCAACTTTGCAAAATCTCAAGTGGTCTTATTGTATTATTGCAATGATGAACAAAAAAACAAAAAAAAAGAGAAAGATAGTAATTGTGGATTTATTTCAAGAATCGAGAATATAGGCGCTTACACATAGTTGACTTTGATACTAATCAATCTTTGAAGTTTACCCTGGATATGATTTTTCTCTTCTCTTTGTTTTCCCTTTTTATTCTTCTCTTAAGTCATAAAAATTGGCAAGGTCGACTGATTAGTAATATAGACTAGAATCAATTGGTGAATATTTTTTTTTCTTATTTTTGGTCTCATAATAAATGCACTAATCACGCATAGAAGCAGAAAAATGGTCGTAATTCTCTATCTAGCTAAGATGCATGATTCTATGTAACATGCAAATTCGATACGCCGCCGGATAATATGAAGTAATGAGCAAATATGTGCGTGTAGTCTAGAAAATGTTGCTTTCTTGTATAATTAAAAAAATATATATCGAAACGGAATATATTTTTTGTTTTTTATTAAATATTGTAGATCATCATCATTTGAGCAGCTGCAGAAACGACTAGTTTTATCGATGAAAAACAAAATTTTACTTCTATAAATTAAAAGAGCAAGTATCTTGATAAGTCGAATATAAATGCGTTTATTGTCAATAAGGTCTCAATCTCATTTTTCTTTCCTTTCCATTCAATGCGACAAACAGTCGGATTTTCTTTATTATATATTATATTTTTTCCTCTTTCACACATACCAGTCATTTGTCACTTATATCAACGTTTTTTTAATATAGATAGTAGCGCTGCAAAATGCTTCTTCTTTTTTTTCCTTCTAACCATTTTGTTAGTCTTTAATATTTTCTGTCATTCTTATTTAAGATACCTGCGATGTTAATACTTATAAATATATGAAAAACAACACTCTTGCTTATATTTATGGATAAATGATTAAAAACATTCTCTAAATGAAGGACGTCGGTAACGGATCATTTGTATGTCCAAATGATCGTCAATTACAACTTCGAGCAAAGTAAAATAAAAACAATAAATAAATAAATAAATAAATAAATAAATAAATAAATATGTTATATTTTATTTATTTTAGACTTAATTCTGGATGGTCATTTCATACAGGTCGTACACCAACACGTAGTTCTAGTGCAACACCAACAAATCGTTTTGGTAGTGCTGCTGCTGCTGCAACAAATGCTGCAACAAATGGTAATCAATCATTACGCGATGAAGAATTGGAAAGAATTAAAAAAGTTCTTGAACGCGCTCAACGTATTGAACTTATTGAACAAGAACGTGTCGGGTATGATTCTAAACAAAATACTTTCAGTCGATCAATCATTGGAAGTTTTTTAGTAAACTTATTGATCGTCTTGATAATATGAAAAAACATGCAACTGGAAATGGTTCATCTCAGTGTGTTTTATGTGCTGATGGATTTGGTATGTTGGGTGCATCATCTGTTTGCTGTGTTGATTGTCATAAAGTAAAAGAATCTTTTGTTTTATTTTTTATTTTCCTTTTTATTATTGATATTATTTTTTCCAGTCTGTGTGCAATAAATGTTCTATAGAAACTGTTTATAATCAACAACTTATATCGTTGTGTAAAATTTGTAGTGAAAATCGTGAAGTAAATGTTTTAGTTTTTAGGTGTTGTATGAAAACTAAAGTTATAAAAAAATTTTCTTTTAGTTATGGAAAAAATCAGGTGCTTGGTTTTTTCGTGCCTTACCATCGCGTTCAATTTTACCTTCAAGTGTAAAACCGTCCTCATCAGCTATATCATCAGGCACTACAAAAAGTGATAGTATATCTATCGATGATGATTCAAGTTCTGATGATCGACAGAGTAACAGTAGTCGATTTAATCGACGAACTTCACCGAGTATAGGTTAGAATTTTTAAGATAAAAAAAAAAAACAAATAAAGATTTATTTAATAATTTATAAATTTTTTTTAGCAATGTCTAATAATCATTATACGAATAGAAATTCATATCAACAAAATTATGATAATACACATTCTATAGCTGAACAAGATCGTGATGAAAGTATTGATTCATTTAAAACTGATGAACGAAGTTTAAAAGGTAATATTTATTCATAATGAAAATAAAATTATAAATAAATGTATTTTTAGAATATTCTATTGATGAATATATTCCAAAATCTCAAGGACGTTCACCATCACAACCACCGGTATCATCAACGTCATCATCACCTGTTCCATCAATGATATCTAATACAACATCATCACCAACAATTATTCGACCATTATCATCTTCTATGTTAGCTCCATCATCATCAGTCGATGACTGTGGTTTGTTGAATATTTTTTTTTCTTTTGAAGATTATTTTTAATGAAGAATTATTTTGTTTTTAAAGGTTTAGGCATACTTGAACTTGATATTATTTGGAGAGAAGCGTTCAATATTTTAACAATAACATTGATACGAGCTCGTAATCTACGTTCAGCTGATTTAAATGGACTTTCAGATCCTTATGTTAAACTACATCTTGTACCCGGTGTAGCTAAGGTGCTTATAAATAAAATAAGCATAAAAACAATAATTATTGTTTTTATGGTTTATTTTTTTAGGCAACTAAATTACGTAGTCATACAATTCGTCGAACATTAAATCCAGATTTTGATGAAACTCTTGTTTATCATGGTATATCATCCGATGATATGAAAAATAAATGGCTCAAGTAAGATTTAAGAAAAAAATTCTAATATTTTTTATTATTTTAAAATATTTATTTCCTTATTAAAGGTTTTCTGTTCTTGATGAAGATTCCGTTGGTGCAGATTTTCTTGGTGAATATCGTTTAAAATTATCAAAAATTAGACCTGATGTAAAAGAAGTTTATTCTGTTTATTTACAAAATAAAACGGAAGTAAGTGAAAATAAAAAATACAACAAAAAACATTTTTTTTAAATATTTTCTTTTAATAATGCTTTAAATAATTATATTTATTTTTAATTTTTAATTTAGGATACTGAAGTAATTAAATAAATTCTGTTGTTTTATTTATTTGCTCTTTGTTTTTGTGTTGCTTTTATTAATTGGGTTCTAATATGCTTACTTGTCTTTTGTTAAATTAACAGCTTTGTTTTTTTTTATTCGATGATAATATCGGTTTTTTAGTTACCTATGGATGAGGATAAAAATGAACGTGGAAAAATCCTTATCAGTCTTTTATATTCAAAATTAACATGTAATTTTCATGTAAGAATTTTACGTGGTAGTCAATTATTACCAATGGATTTTGGTCAAACATCAGATCCATATTGTAAATTATCATTATATCCTTCAACTGATATAAATACAAAATGGAATTTTAAAACAACAGTTAAAAAGCATACGTTACAACCAGAATTTAATGAAGAATTTATTTTTCCACATATACAATTACAAGAATTGATTAGTAAAACATTACAAATAACAGTTTATGATAAAGACATGGGAAAAAAAGATGATTATATCGGTAAATATTTGGTCAGATTATATTACTTGTCAGATAAAATATTTTAGTCATCGACATTAGCTAGTAGATTAACAAACTTAATCAACTTTTATGCGTATAATCAGTCGAAAGGAATTAATAAGTACAGTCTTTTCCTTTTCTGACAAAAAAGAAAATTCGCTGATTATATCTAAAAAAAACTTATCTAAAAAAACGTCATTGTTTTTTTTTTTTGTATCAGCGATTAACGATTATTATTACAAAAACATCTAAAAAACAAAAGCATAAAACGTTTTTTTTCAATTTATGTTGACCTCAACAGATATAAGATTTCTGATTGAAAAACCTATTTCCGTTCTAAAGGTCAATTATTGACATTGATTATTTCCTTCCTAAATAAGTTTTTGTTGTTTTGTAATAAGCAATATCATGTTTTTTACTTTTGTTGAATCATTTATATTATTCGTTTTTTTTCAGGTGGATTTGAATTAGGTCAATCAGCATCAGGCGATGGATTAAGACATTGGTTATTAATGGTTAAATCACCAGAACAATGGACTGATATGTGGCATAAACTAAAACCAGAGCAATTTAATTCATCATAATGTGAGCGAGAGTCTCAGATATCTCAATAGCAATAATTGTCAATCATGAATTTTTTCTTTTCTTTTTTGTTTTTCTTCACGCATACATTTTGCTTGTGAACGCGTTCCGTGTTGATACACAAAACAAAAAATTTTAAACAGAAAAAGAATATCCATAAAAAAAGTTTTCTTTTTCTCTTTTTTTTTTTCGAATGTTTATTTTGATAATTGAATGTTCATTTTTTTTTCTCTCTTGTTTTTGTTTGCCTGCTACCGGTCAATGTCAATGTGCCTTGAGTGGTGTATGTCGATGTTCGTGTGAACAGGGATTTTCATTTAATTGACTGTCACTTTAGTCTTCCTTTCTTTTGGAATATTATTCTCATCATTCGTGAATATCGATAATGTGTCATTTTGATAAGAGCTTTCATATCATGTATGAATATCTTAACAATACATATGACATATTCAAGAAATCAAAAACAAAACAAAAAAAAACCTTTAGTTATTTTGTTCTTATTCTTTTTCTCTGTTGTGAACTTTTATTGTGTCGGTTAATGCTTTTTAAAGTTCTTTATTGTCATTTATTTTCTCTTTTTTTTTCTTTGAACATGTATGTGAACGTATTTTTCAAGATAATCTTTCTAATTTTTAACAGTAAAAAAAAGTCATACATTGTTCAAACATATTTCAGCGCCATCTTCGGGTAAAAGAGGTTTTTAACAATAACTCTATAAGGCTGTTGCATAGTAACTTAATTGATACGACAACCAACGATTAATACTTGATCATTTTTATTAGAATAATTCATCTACTTTGAAATAATAATGGATCAAATACAAGTGTTATCAGCTGTTTGTAAAAAATTAAATAATGATATAGAATCAGTAGCTAATCAAATATCTTTACGTGAATCAGTATTAACTAAATTAGATGCTAATCAAAAAACACAAGATGAACAACTTCGTCAATTAAATATGGATCTACAAGCTAAATTCTCTAGGACAGATGCATTTGTACAAAAACTAAAAGGTGATATTGAACAATTATCAAATGGACTTCGAGAAGCTTTTAATAATCAACAAGAATTGAGTCGATCTAATGGTCAACGTCAACAAGAATTAAAATTAGAAGTAATATTTTATTTTATATGATATATTTCGTATGAGGTAAAAGAAAAAATAAACGTTTTGATGAAGCAGAACTTATTAAAATGTATGCCTAATAGGTTGTAAATTAGACATAAGGCATGAATAACATAGCAACAATATTGACTGAAACGGTCATTTGATGAAAATATTTCGAATCGTAATGTAAACAAAAAAAAAATATTTCATTAAAAAGAATTGTGTTTCTTTTACATGAAAAAACTATTTCTTCAAAATTCATCTTGTACATATACAAAGTTTTGATACTATTGATAAGAAATTCATTTTAAAAATACATCAAAATTTAACATTTCGTAGAAGCAAAAAATTTATCTATCAAGTAATGATTGAATTTCAAGAAAAAAAAATAAGATGCATAAATAGATGCAATTCTTAGGTATTGATAATCAAATATTTGAATAATTAATATAAAATATGTGATCATTTGTTTGTGTGTGTTTTCTATTTCAAAATCTAATTTTTTTTTTTTACAGATTTCAACATTAAGTCAACGTATTGATCGAATGTTTAGCGAACAACAAGTTATATTACGTACGTTTGAGTCAGATACAACACGAGCATTATCAACAGCTGACACACGATCACGTGCATTTGTTGATGAACTTCGTAGTCAAGTATTTCAACTTAAAAGTCAAGATAACAGTGACCGTGAGCGAGTTGAACAACGAATCAATCAAAAACTTGATGAAATTAAACGATCTTTAGAAAAATATGTAAACTATTTTCTTAAGAAAAACAAAAACAAAATATGTGTTTTCTTTTCTTACTTATATATTTAGGAAAGATTTGAGAAACGTATTGAAGATGCTATATATCAATTTGAACGTAAAAATGCTTCTTTAGAAGATCATTATAAACGAGCTACATCAGATTTAAATCGAAATAAAGAAGTAAAATTATTTAATAGAAAGAATATCATGTTTTTTTTGTTTTCTTTTTTAATTTTTGTTTGTATTTTTAGTCTATTGAACAAGCTGTTTATAAACGTTTTGATGATAAATATCAACGAACAGTGGCTAATTTAGAAAAAGTTAAAAAAGAAATGCGAACTTGTTTTGAATCACTTGAGGGTTCAGTTAAAGCATTACAGCGTGTAACGGAAGGACGAATTAAAGGTACAGAAGAAAAATTAGATAAAGAGGTTGAAAAACTTCGCAGTTCGCTTGTGCTTATTTAATATCAATAAAGAAGAAAAAACATATGTACATTTTCCTGTATACATATTTTGAATACATTTGAAGGTATGATTAGGTTTGATATGAAGAATATGTCAAAAAAAATATCGATAAATATAATTTGATGTATGTCATTTCATTTTCTTTTTGTCACTTGACTATTTCATTCTACTATAAGCATACCTTTTACTTGTCTTTCTGAACATGTAAATAAATTGATGGCCTATCTTGTTTTTTTCTATTTTTTACGTATATTTTCTGACAGTCATTCGTAATATTAATACATTACAAGCGTGTTCTCATTATAAAATGTCTACGTAAATCTAAGATTATTATCATTAGTTCGTTCTTTCTTCTTGTGCATGTCTATGCATTTTCAAGGTGATTGTATACCAAATGAAAATTATATATCATTAAAAATAATAATTAACCTTGAACATGCTTTTTTAATATATATCTGAATGAATACACGCGTCTATTTATAAACAAGAACGAAGAAAAAAAAATCTCTGCCTTTTCGACTACTTTGCGGTACAAAGTGGTGCCTAGTGATAGAATCAGTAGTTCATTATCTGCCCTAACACGCCTAATAGCTATTGCTCTGAACAAAAAGTCAGCTTGGGGTACAGTTATCGTGCTCCATTGTTTGAACTCTATATGCACACTAGTTCATCATATACTAGTCACAAGAGCACATGCATGTAACAAAATAGTCAACATACTGTTGAAAATGTGATCTGAAACAAACAACTGTTAGTGATTTATTTACGGTCATTCTATGGCTTATATGATTGAGATGTGAACAGAATATTTTGTAGACATATGTCAAACAACATAATTACACAATAGTGACAGTTCTAATGAAAGAGATACTTTTAAAATATATGATTATTTTATTTTAATTGCTATCTTTCTTGACATTATAAAAAACCGGGAGAAAGTATGAATCAAAATGAAACAATATCACATTAGCAAAAAGCAATTAGATAAAAAAAATTGAATCCTTAAACTAAAATAGTAGAAAAAAAGGAATATGGTGGGGAAAAGAAAAGATTAGTCTTTTATAAACCGCCTTGAACGAATTTTTGGAATTCACCAGCATCAAGACGTCCATCTTTGTTGGCATCAGCGCTGCTGAAAGTTGCAGAAGCAAGATCAAAGCCAGCACCACCACCACTAACACCATAACTGGCACCACCACCAACACCATAACCAGCACCACCACCAACACCATAACCAGCACCACCACCAACACCATAACCAGCACCATAGCCTTCAGCACCACCGGCACCTGATGAAAATGATGATGATTCGAAGTTTGATGAATAGTTGCCACCAGCTCCTCCGACTAAACCAGCTCCTCCAATATAACCTGCTTCTAATCCACCACCAACGAGACCACCTATCATGCATCAAAAAATAATAAATGAAGGAGAAAATAAAGTAATACACTTACCGAGTCCACCGCCTGTGGATGAATCGAAGCTGCTGGATGAGAATGATGATGAAGCACCACCTAAATCTCCACCAGCTACATTAACAAATTCAGCTCCACCAGCGCCACCAGCGCCACCAGCGAGGAGGGCTGCATCGGAGCCAAATGATGATGATGCGGTATAACCAACTGCAACACCAGCAGGAGGAGACTAAACCAATGTAAGAAAAAATAAATTTTAACGAATATAAGAGAAATTATAAAAAATATGTGTATATTTACGATATCTTCAACAACACCAGCAGCACGAGCTTGTGCAAGAAGAGCGTGAGCATCAAGTAAAGCTGCTCCATATCGTTGAACGTAGATAGATGGGTTTTCTTGTGTAACACCCAATCGTACGAATTGTCGGACAACACGAACTGGAGCTTGTTCGTATTGAATGATAACATTACGTGGTGCAGCATATCCTTTAGCTGCTGCAGCTCTTTGGACAACGGTTTGTCGTTTAGGAGCAGGACCATATGGAATCCAACGTTCGATGATGACATCACCTGTAATATAAAAAGAAAAAGGAAGAGTAATATAGGGAAATAACATAACAAGGCAAAAATTCACTAACGTGGTCGGGGTGGAGCTGCTGGAAGACGTTCAATGATGACTGATCGTGGAGGTACTGGTAAAGCAGCAAGTTTTCGGATAACTGTTTGTGAAGCAATAACAGCTGGTGGCTGTGGTGGTCTTTCACGAAGAACGAGTGGAGGAGGTGTTGGAAGAGGTGGTGCTTGTTGTCTGATGCGAAGTGGGGGTGGTACTGGTGGTTGAGGTGGACGCACTTCTCTGATGATGAGTGGCTACAAGAATAGGATGGTTATTGAAAAAAAAACCATATAATAATTATAACTTACGCCTGGGGGTGGAACAGGTGGTGGTTGGAGAAAGCGGACTTTGATGTTTTGTGTATAGGTTTGAACACCACCTGGTGCTTGTCGTCGAATTATTTGTGGATTGGCATCAATATAGAGGCCAGCACCACGTACTTCGGCACCATATCGTGACCAGGCAGCATTGGTTTCAGCTGTGTAGCTAGCTGCTTGGTTAATTGCTGAAACATCATAACCACCGGCAGCTGTTTCAAATGATGTTCCTTGAAAACCACCAGCACCACCAGCACCAGCACCAGCGGCAAAACCAAGATCAAGACCAGCACCAGCACCTGATGAGTAGGCTGTTGATTCATAAGAAGCACCGCCTCCGAGACCGCCGAGACCGCCGAGACTGACAAGACCGGCATCAACACCGAGAGCACCTCCAGCTGAATAACCTGATGATCCGTACGATGACGAATCATAACTACCACCAGCTCCTCCTAAACCTACACCGAATGCAGCACCACCAGCACCGCCAGCACCGCCAGCACCACCAGCACCACCAGCACCAAGCCAATTGGCAAATTCAGCGCGATCGATTGCGCCATCTTTGTTGGCATCAACGTTGGAGAAGGCTGCTCCTGAAGCATCTAATCCACCAGCACCACCGCCGGTTGATGATGAGTATGACGAATATTCGTAGTTGGCCATATTTGTTTCGGTATGTGTTGTTGAAAGAGGAAGATGGTTAGTGAAATGCTAACGAAAGACTGCTGTTTATATACTAGTGAAGATTCTCTCTCTCTCACTCTCTCACTCTCTCTCCCTCTCTCTGTTTCTCTCTGTTACCCTCTTTTTTTCACCTTCTCACCCAAGTACCTTGATAACATGGCTGCCTAATGATGCATGCGATTTATTATGTATCTCTTGTCTCTTTTCTCTCTCTTTTCTTTTTCGCTGCAATATTTCGATATTTTTTTAGCGCTATCACGTATTGGTTAGAAAAGATATCAGCGTAAATCGAGCTGGCAACTCACTACGTCCTAGACATCGACCGCCAAACCACATAAAAAAAGTTTTTTTTTCTGATTGGAAGGAAAAAACCAAATAATACGAATAAACAATTAATCTATCATCACCTATGCATGACGTTGAATGTGATGATTGGTACGGGGCAAAATAAAAAAAAAAATATTCTTGATCCTTGCTTGAATAAGTGCAATACCTAGTCAAAATAATAGCAAGTGGTTACAAACGTCAATATCAATAACTGTCGATGTCTAACGTACAATTTTAATTACGAGTATAGCGTTTATTGTTTTCATCTTTGTTCGATTTATTTATTAAAAACATGTTTTCTTTTTGTTCTAATTTGAGTTGAAACTTTGCTTTTTATCACATGTTTTTCAATGTACAATAAACAAAAGAAAAAAAGAGAAAAACTACAAAAAGCGTGTCGATTGTCGTGCATGAATTAATAAAAGATCGTTTTCTTTTGTAGAATTAATTATATCATGATCGGGTAAAAATTTTTCACAATTAGTTATTGATCGATCCATTTTTGTACTGTAATAATTATTATTACCAAATAATGCATGGTGATGATGATGATGATCGCTGGAATTATTATTTGAAAAAAAATTATAATATTTTCCATTACGATGTCCTTTTGTTGTTGATAAAACTTGATTATTGGTTGTATTTTGATGAGACCACTGTTGTCCTTGCAACAAACTTGGTGAAGAATTAGGTGAACGACGTTGACAATTCGCACGTCGTAACTGTAATGCTGTGGATCGGTTTTGAGTTGATAATGGTACATGTACACGATTTTTATTTGCTAAATCATTATCTAATTGAGTAGCATCAATACAAGGAAAACAAGAGAAAAGTTTACGAAATTCTCGATTAAATTTCACCTATTAGCAAAGAATTATATAAACAAATAAATATCAATATAAAAATAAAAAACATACACTACAAAAACCATAAATGAATGGATTATGACATGAATTAGACATAGCAAGCCAATTAGCACATAACCATAACACTACAATATGTTTAAAACTAAAGAACAATAAAAGATTTGTATGTGATTTATATATGTATAAAGAAAAAAAAAAAAAAAGAAAACAACGTACTCATTTATTTCAGGTTTATAGACATTAAGAAAATTATAAAGTTGTAATGGAAACCAACAGATTAAAAATAAAGCCACAACAAGAAATAACATTTTTAATACCTAAAAAATATATTTGACCTTGATTAAAATCTGAATCAATATATTATGTACATATCGATATTGATAAAATATTAATTCTTTTTTATCTACAATGCTATCTAATAAAGATTGTCTCAGCATGATCACCTTCTATATTCTATTAAAAAAGAAATATGCAGCTGCCTTTTTTACTGTTTGTCCTCCTTGTCTTTTTCGTTTATATCAAGACGAGTTTTAATAATCTTACTTTACGTTTATTACGAGCAATAACTTCTTGATGTTTTGTTTGTCCAACTGGTTTAGAAAAATATAAATGTGCTGCTATACGAAAATAAGCACAACTTATTATTATAAATGGTATTATATATTGTGAATATATATTATAAACAATATAAATTTTATTTATATCATAAGAATTTGTTGTTGAATTACTGTGTTGTTGTAGCTCAGATGTATTTGGTAAACATTGATAACCAATATCATCAATAAAATAAACATTGTAAAATATAAGACTAGGTATTGATGATCCCAATGCAACAAGCCAGATTATAATAAATATAATGAATGCACTTTTTGTTGATAATTTCGGTTTTAATGGATGTAACATAACATGATAACGATCAAGCGAAACAGCTACGAGAGTATATATTGATACATCAACAGAAAGTATTTGAACGAATGGTGCTAATTTGCAAAGAAAATGAGGTAAGACCCATTTTTGAAGAGCTGCCGCTTGAAACTAGACGAAAAAAAACAAACTATTTTTTCATATGTTTGATTATTAATGGAAAATGACATACTTGGAATGGTACAGCAAAACATGCAACAAGACAATCAGCTAGAGCTAAATTGCATATAAAATAATTTGTTACTGAATGCATTCGTCGATTGCGTAGAACAATATAGATAATACATGAATTACCAACGACAGCAAGTAAAGATATAATGCCATATGCAAAACTTAATAAAATTATTTGATATTTTTCTGGTATAAGTGTTTTTGTTAGTTCAGCTGCACTGCCTGTTCCATTTAGTGTTGTTGTTGCTGACGGTGATGGTGACAAGAGAAGTGACGTAGTAGTAGAAAGTTTAGAAGAATGTAATGGATTAATAGTACTTGTTAATAATGAAAATGTAATTGAATCCATTTAAGTTCATCATAGTATGAAAGTCAAATTATATATATATATATTACTCATTCGAGTATCGAATACGTCATAATATGCAGTAAAAAATGTTGAAATGAAACCAAATTTGCAAAACAAAATATAATTGATGGCTAAAGAGATTGGAAGAATGCAAATAATAAATATTGATTCTTCCTCCTTCTAATAAATTATATTTACCTTACGTGAAAAATAATTCAGTCAGTGTCGATTGTTCTATATAGATGTGTATTTAAGAAATAATACCTAACAAAAAGAATTATTCAGATAATTTGAAGATAATAACAAGTATTCTTTCATTCTTATTCTTTAGAAATATTAATCAGATCTATCAATGAGTATAAATCACTTGTTTTCATACGAACATCATTAATAAGGACATTAAGATGTAGAGAAAAAAAAAAGAAAAGAAGGAAAGAGGAAAAAACACGAAGCAAATCTATATCTATCATATCCAGTTGTCTAGAACATATTAAAGTTCTTTTAGCTATGCTAATAAGTAAAAGATCAATATAGAAAAAAATGGATGATAATGTGCATGCAACGGATCGATTTTGTTCTCATATTCTTATATTTTATTTGTCTTCCGTTTATTGATGTTTTGTTTGTTTGATTAAATAACAACAGTAGTAGTAGTGAAAAAATGCAAAGGAAAAAAAAAACAACGGATATCGCTTTACGAACACTAACAGACACAATCGAAATAGGACGACAGATTTTCTATTCATATATTATTCAAGCGTCAAACGGTAAATGTCTTTGAAAGAAAACAGTAGTCGCTATTGTTAGACGTTAAGAAAAAAAACAAAAGAAAAAATATTATATTATTATAAAAAACAAGAAAAAATATTATATTATTATAAAAAACAAGCAAAAAATTACTGTCTCTATTATATTTCTATCTAAATAAAAGACAAACATTTCTATGAGAATTAGTTTAAAGACTAAGAATTTTGATTAAAAAAACTCGAAGTTATTATTTCATATAAATATGCCTAGAGACATATGGCAGTCTATGTATATCACTCTCACTTGTTCTCATTAGCAATGCTTGTTTGTCATTTATTGTACGATAGAGTAGATTACCACCCATCCTATCATACATTATGATTGACACCAAATGTGATGATAGATAAACCAAGCGAAAGATTAGGTCGGCATGATTTGTGTGTTTTAGACAAGTGAATATTTTATGCGCTTTTTCCTTCGAGTAATGCTTAGAAAAACAAAATAAGAGCGTAGATAGAAGCTTCTCATAAAAATAAAAACCAATTTACAATGAATCTATTTAGTTCGATGTTACTTCTTCTTCTTGGCATTATTCATACGCCGTAAAGATAAATCTAATTCGTTCATAGACTTTTTATAAAAAAGAATAAATCAAGAATGTCGTCCTTATGTAGTTGCCCTCATGTTTTCTTTTTATATTAAATGGTTCATTCAGTTTTCTTAATGATATTTGAAACGTTTTCTTCACACATACACTTGACACAAGTCGGATTTTTTTCTCAACGGCTACGCATACACAAAGAAATAAGTTATTTGCATTATCACTCAGGATTTCTGTAGATGTGACAGAGAAATAGAAAGATGGAACGAGAAAAAGAAATAAGAACTCAAATAATGAATGGCAAACTACTGTGTATAACTCTATTCCAAATAAGCAATCTTATAAACTGTTTTCTCATTGCCCTTCGTCGTAAACATATGAAATGGTGATGCTTCACTAAGTGATGATGAGGATGATGATGATGTTAATAGTCAATAGTCTACTTGAATGTCTTTCAACAAACAGAAATTTTCCACTAGATTTGCCTATATTATATATCGAAATGATTGGTATTAATTCATTAAAAAATATGCGCCTAAATGGATCATTAAATAATACTTATTTAAGGAAATAATTACCTTAGTTCGTTTTTGATGAATCTGGAGCAAAATACTACATGTGAGTGAAAGTCAATGCTTTGATGTACACAAAATAATAATATGAAACAGTGTTATTAATTTGTCAGTTTTTTTTAGTATTTATTTCGATCTGCACTCATCTCAATTCGTTATGCTGTATCGTTGTGAAAGTCACTAGAGAATAGACGATTGGCACTGTCTACTAGATATCTAATAAAAAAAATGAAAGAAAAAAAGCGGAAAGAAAAATATTGACAATAAACTTCTTGGAAAACGTGTCATTCTCGTCAATATTTTCATATATGGAGAGAATCTAATTTTGTTTGAGAAAAGTCTTTTGAATAAAACTAAGCACGAAGCATTGACTACTGTTCGACAGATGAGACAAAGCAAAAGAACGACTCTTATATATATAATTCCCAAATGAATACTATCATTCTCACATGAACAAAAAAATGTGAATATGCTTGTATTAGTATGTGCATGACATAAATGATAAGCCTACTCCTATGATGAACAACAAACGAGAAAAAAGAAAACAGAACAAACTTGTTTCATTCGAATTTTAATAAATTTCGTCAAAAATTATTCATAAATTGTTCGAATATTTTTTACATTCAAATTCGACATTTCTAATTGTTCTAACAAGAAAATATGATCGTTGACTCTTTTGTTTTGTATCAGAAAAATCATCAATTAGTTCGAAACTCAATAGAAATTGCCAACTTTTACGATAGAATCGAACAAATGAATCATTCATCATGGGAATATAAATACATATCAATTAGTTTTTTTCAACGATAGCTTAGTTAGAGCTAGATTATGATTATTTAAAAAAACCATTTATGTTGACATAAAATATGAAAAATAAAAGAAAGATAGATTAACATGTTGAATGTAATAATGCACCAACAGGTTTGTTTTCTTCAACCAAACGATTATAATGTTCACATGCTTCTCGAGTTCCTTCAATATAATAATCAACACCTAATTTCATATTATTCTTTTCGAAAAAATCTAATGTTTCTTTAGATGTCTCTAATTTATCTTGCATGCCTTTTGATAGTACAATATATTTTGCTCCTTTTTCTATTAAGTATTCGACATCTTCTCGTTGAATGCCTGGAACATGACGAGTATTTGTTTTATTCCAATCCCATTCTTCAGCGCCTTAAATATCAAGTACATAATTATATATACAATCAAATATATCAAATCAAATCTTACCGCCTGGAAAAAGTTTGAAATCTTTACCAGAAGAAAATCCTTTGACTTCTATATGTCCCCAGCGGAGTTTTTGAATAAGGGGTGATTCTTTCTGATCATGTTTTTCATTGTCATCTCCCATCTTCAATATAAATTTTTTTTAAAGAAAATTTTATGTATACATTAAACTTCAAGGGTTTTTCTATTGATATTTTTTTTTTCTGTTTTCAAAAACTTTTCAACACGAAAACAAACATACAGCAAAAAAAGAAGAAGAAAAAAGAAGAACCTTAGATACACATTAACTTCAAATAGATAAACATAAATAAACTAAGTTATTAATGATTCTTGTGAATCATTTGCACTTGTCGCTGTTTTACGACGATTTTTTTTCGATTTATTATTATTTATCTATAATATATATACATAATTATTTATTAAGAAAGAAAATCTTTTTTTTTTATCTATTTTACTTGATTATGTTTTGGGCAATAAATCGAATAACTTTCTTCAATTAATTGACAATTAACTAAAGAAAGAAAAAAATAAATAAGAACAATAATTAATTATCAAAATATTTTTTATCATACGAGTTGTTTTTGCACAAGGATAATGATAACGAATTTTACAGTTTCGATAACGACATGCAAGAGCTGCACCAGGTAGTTGACATATTGAACATGTCTAAAACAGGAAAAGAAATTATTAACATGATCTTAACAATATTTAAATGTGTCTTTTCAACAAAAAAAAACGTATAGAAAAACTAAAAAGCAAAATCTAAAAGAAATGCTAAAGTATAACGAGTAGAAATTTAAACACATCCCACTAGAGATTATCAGATTCGGGTGTAAAATTTGTCTGTTAACCGGATCCGATAGTTTTGAATCCAACAAGCGCTACTCCCAACAGACATGACTAGCGATGCACTAGTACCTAAAACATGATGTCAAAGATGACATTCTTTTTCTTATTCAGGATGTAGTTCTTGTAGATTTGTTTATAGCAACTATGATTAGTTCTTTTTCGCTCTATCCAAAGCTGTAGTCGAAATTCATGAAATACAAAACAATCGTTTCGGGATTGGAAGAAAATTCGTTTTTTTTTTTAATTTTATTTTCATTGACCAATTCAAACTAATTTCGAGATCTATACTCTGTATTGAACAACATTTAAGAGTAACTTTGGCAAGAACTTTCAAAACTGATTATAAATGACATGAAGAATCACTAGAAATCGGCGAATTCTCAATATTGGGCACGTGTTTTTCTAAGCAGAGATAAATTAATTCCTTGAATTTCTAATCTAAGTTTAGAATACTTCCATTATTGAACATTATCGGACTTCTAGTGATTCTTTATGTCAGTTGTGGTCAAATTTGAATAATTTTCCGAAGTTATTCTTAGATTTTATGTAATACAAAATATATGTCTCAAAATCAGCTGAAATCGATCAGCAAGGAAAACTAAAAAATAAGAATTTTCAGCGAATTCCGAAACCTTTATTTTGTATTCCATGAATTTTGACTATAGACTTGGAGAGAGCAAAAAAACTAATCAAGGGTAATATAAGCAATCCATAGAACCTAGATTCTTAACAAGGAACAAAGTTATCATCTTTGACATTATGTTCTATGAATCATTACATCCCTAGACATGACAGACAAGTGAAGAGCAGTCTGACAGGTGAAAAATTCTTCGAGAAATAGAAAAGTCTAAAAAAACTATATTTTGGAGAGTGACTCTCATGTGTTTCGATCAGAATTTTAAAAAAATCTACAAACTTATTTTCAAAAAAAAAATAGACCTGTTAAAGATTGAATGAAAGCACAATACGTATGCTTCTTGTTCACTATTTGCGTCTCATAACAAATTCATTCTACACTAAACTGCTATTCAGTAAACACTTTTCCTTTTTGTTGTCTTGCTTTGCAAAATGCATTTGTTGCAATATAATCAAATAGAAATATAAAATAACATTGCATGCAACCATCAATTGAGAATTATTCACATGAGCTCAAACATACTGATATTGAACTACTATAACAGATATTAATTTTGATGTTAGACTAAAATTTTACGTCAGTTCTATTGGAGAAACAAAGTTCTCAATAGAAATTTATTTTCGATAAGAGAATGTACGAACAATAGCTATTGCAGAACAAGAAACTTGATTTCTCAATTCTATTGGAAAACTCGTTCAATCTGACAAAATTCAGATGATCATGTCTGAAGTTGGTGTTATCACAGACAGAACAGGATTCTCTCAGTCGAATTCGATAGAATCATACGAAGTGAATTTGACCTTGGATCATGAAAAAAGACAAGTACATCACAAAATTCTCGAATTCTATTTGACGAGTTCTGTCATAGCTGAGCTTTGTAACAAAAACATCAAAAATGAGAAGCGCATTCATAAGTCAGAGAGCAGCTGATCACAGATATAACAAACATTGTTGACATACGATCACAGACCGTATATAATTAATGTCTCATTATAATATATGAATTATTTCCTTATTGCATTTCTGATGGATTAAGTAAAAGGATGTTTGAAGAAATGTGACTCAAAATAGGATGAATGAAACAATGCCCCTGTGATTAACAATAGCAAGTACAACATGTTTAACATTATAATCTAGCAATGATTGTGCCTAGAAGCTTTCTTCATGTACTTACAATATCAAGATAAGTTGAACATGCATCAGAAATATACATAAGTTCTCCTGTTGTTGGATTCATTTGTATATGATTATTCCATAATGCACAATCACGATGTAACCAAACTTCAATTAATTTTCTATAATGTTTTGCTAATTGTTTATCTAAAAAAAAAACATTAAATCATATTTAAAATATTCTTAATAGATATATAATCGATTACTAACTATTATTTAGATATAATCGACATTGTTCATTTAATTGAAATGGACCATATAAAGGACCAAGATATTCTTCATATGGTTCTTTCCAACATAAAATACATCGCCATTGTGCTTTTGTATCTTCAACTGTTTTCATTTTAATTTGTCGTCGATGAAAATTAAATCCTTGTATAGTTGAATTTTTTTTTGTATTACTTGTTGTATCAAGATGTGTACCTGACATAATAGTACGTGTTGAACTATCATTAAGAATAACATATAATTCCTCTGAACGATTTTTAATTGATATTGTTGTTGATTCATTTGAATGAGATTTTTTCTTTGTCGATTTTTCTGATGGTACATTAACATGACGAAATTTTTTCATGATTTCAACTGTTTGCTCATCTTGTTCAGAATTATTTTTAATTGAATTTCGTTGAGTTTTTTTTGTTGATGATTTTCGAGATTTTTTTTGATCATTAGGCATATCTTGTACTTTAATTTCATATTCATCATCAGAATTTTCATTTAAATAAGCAGCTAATTCAGGAACTTGTTCTTGTAATGCTCCAAAAAACTGTTGTTCTTAAAAGATAATAGAAAATTAGAAAAAGAAAAACCTATATGCAAGTTTTCTACCATCTTGTTGGGATATATTATCAAAACGAATAAGATGTGTATGTCGTTGAGGACGATTTCGTACATTCCAATTAATGTTACTTTCACTTGGTTCTTCATTCACAATCATTTCATCACCGCTATTTTTTTCATCTTCACCTTCATTTTCATCATCGTCATCATCATTATTACTACTACTGCCACCACTATCATCACCATTTCTAATTGATTCATCTTCGTTTTCGGATGATGATGACGATGATGATAAACGTTGAAGAGGTAATTCAACTATACCACCCGGTGGTATATATTCATTATCTTCATCTTCTTCATCACCATTATCATCAATAATACCAGCTGCTATAGCTGTTTCTAGAAATTCTCGTGTATTACCCGTATAAATTAACGAACGTTTTTTGGCTTCTCGAATAGGTTTATCTGATGAATTATGTGTAGTTAATTTTAGAGGTGTAGATTCTGATGATGAACTTGCTTCATGATCAACATTGGATTGTGTAGGAGATTGAATAACTTTTGGTTTTTGAATATTTGATAATATAGAATTTGAATGATGACCATTGATTGAAGAATTTATTTCAATGTTATTTTCAGATAAACGTCGTTTATATGATGTATGATTATTATTATTATTATTTAGAGAATCATGGCGTTTTTTTCCAGTACCATTTTGTGATGAGCCTGTTGGATCACTAGTGGATTTATCTAAATGATTTTTTGTAGATGAACTGCGATTTTCACTATTTGAAGTTCCTCGTTCAGATGATGTAGATAAATCACGGTTTCTTAATGTTCGAGTTGGAGATTTTGTAGTAACTTCTATTGGATCAGTTACACCATCTAATTGTGTTGGAATTTTTATTGTATTCAAACTAAATCACATAATAACATTTATTTAATCATGAAATTAGAGATACATCAAAATTATTTTTATTTTTAGATAAGAAATGATTTGTAGTCGTTTTTTTTTATTCATAGAAACTATAGCTATGAAGTCTTTATGTTCATAGCTTGTGTACGATGCGTAACAATGACTTTATTTAAGGGCTTAGATAGAGCCCTTTGGGGCATAAAAGTTTTGGTGCCGACGAACAGACTCTAATCGACTGGAAAATATGTAAGATGCACTAGTTACCGAATACAAAAGGCTGGGAAAAAATGTATGTCTTCTCTTTAGGGCAACTATCCAATTTCGATTAGAAAATTTTGAACTCATCAAGCCTTAAACTGAGAGGACTATCGCCATTTATTATATCCGATACATTTTATAACAAAATGAAGTTCGTTAAAATCTAGACTTCATCGTATGAATCAATATAAGTTTAGACAAAATATTCGCGTTAAAATAAAAAAAAAAACATTTAAAATTTCGCTAATCATGAATATGAGAAAATGATCTTGTGACAGATGATTCCAAAATACTGACAATCAAATGAAGAAACAAACGAGAATTGATCTTTTAAAACTTAAAACAAAAATTTAGAATTTCTTGTTTTTTTTCTTTTTAACAATCATATTCTTGCTACGGTGAAACGCCGAGTGATAGGAAGAGAAAAGCTACATTTTGATAGCTGTTTATGTCCTTGTACTTGAGTCCGTCATGTCCAAAAATTTTTGGATCCAGATTCAGGACCAATCTG